AGAACCCTCACTCCGCGCAAGGGGGATAATCGCACCACGTTGTGTTGAAATGGTCAAGCACCCTCGAGGCAGTTACACAGTGCTTACAACTGTCTCTGGAAATGAAAACACCAGAAAATAAATTAGGTCATACGCAGCTGTCATCCGTACGCGAGGAAGCAAGCACAAGATGCCCAACACCCTCAGCAGGATGCAGCGCACCCTTCATGCCACTCGCCGAATATCTCACGACGCTTCGCGCTTGGTGATATGAGAGCCTGGTCCGGTTGAGAACCCGGCGTGCTCCGTCACGGCTTTGTAGGGATGCGAGGTCAATGTTCTAACGACCACGGCATCCACGACTATGAGTACACCCCCCATCCGTCTGCACGCTACCCCCAATTACTTCCTTCCCTTCATCATCCACCCCACTCCTCCCAACCCCCACCTCCAGACTCCCCCTCTCTCCCCCCGTGCCCACCTTATCATTCATGACCATAATTGTTACCTCCCATATCAAAAGCGATTAATGACACACCGCTTAGAAGTGGTGCAGTCAGAGACAAGCGAGAGCTCCTACGCCAGGCACCGTTGTCCTGCCGTCTCACAACATGTATGGCAACCGCGTCCGTCGGAACCTCTTTCGTTTGCCTTTTCCGCTGGTTACGAACCAAGCCTACGGTACTGCAGCAAATACAACCTGAAGTATGTAAGTAGGACCTCTACGCCTCTGTTTTCACCGTGAAAGAGATTACAAGGGAGAACGTGGGCTTCTGGCCGGCACACGCCTTCATATCGGGTCATCCAGATCTGGTTTGTGAACCGGCAAGCGAGGATAGACCAGACCCTTTTGTCCACCCCACTTGTCCTTCCGGGTTCAGTTCGAGCCTGATCGTGCGGGGGGGCAAACTTTCCACACTCGATTGCTGCGTCCGGCATGAGATGGTGACTTAGTTTGCACCGTGGGCCTTAACTTTCGCCCCCATATCACTCCGCGGCGTACTGCTTTGTCGAACTGCGCTCGCATGTCAACAGCCTACAATGGGACCACCTTTAGAACGAGGGGGGAACCTTATGAAACTCCAGGTAATATCGTGTGGAGGTTATCTTACCAAGAATTATTGAGATCCCGTCAATATGTCACACCTCCTCAGCGTTTCAACTGCTCTGTTCTTGGTGCTGAGTTGGGCTATACCCACCCGGCACGTCTTGCCCCTAGCCCTCGCTTTCGTATTCGCTGTGCACCCTCCAGCCGTTTGCAGTGTCGTCTGAGGATCGTGCCGCACTGTGGGCCCTGTTTCGTTCTACCGGCAGAGACCGTTGGACTCAAAATGTCTCAAAAGGACAGCTGGGACACCAACGCGGATCTTCGGCGGTGGCGCGGAGTGCGACTCAACAAAGATGGCAGAGTAATCCAACTGGGTCTGTCTGTCCGACAACAACCTCCGGGGAATCTTAAGCCTATCGCGCAGAGCTCTGAGGATACGTCCTGCTGGCTTTTCTGTGGGCCTGGCCTCTGCCTAGATCCGCTCGACCACAAGTAGAATAATGCTGTAGTCCAGCCCAATAGCGTGTCCACTAATGTTTCTCACGATAGCGTGTGAACGAACCGTTGTGAACGCATAGTAGAGCTACATTGCACGAGCAACCCATATTTGAATGATCGGAATATTTGTCATGGGGTTTACTTCTCTGGCCTGGTTCGTTCATATCCTGTGCAGGGCCTCTTTCTGAGGCGCTTGGAAATCTCAGGGAAGCTGTTGACTCTGGACTTGCGCGGCAGTAGACTCCCGGGTGAGAGTGGTTAGCGTGAGCAGAGGAGGGGTCATTTGAAACGTTTGTCTCCCACAGCGTAGCATACAGCAGGTAGGCTACGCGTATATGAACCCATTCAATGCTTTATCTTCACGAAGCCACCTTGCTCCGTGCGCTGAATGCTTGTGCATGGTTCATTCCGAAGGGGCTGGGATCTCTGCGCATGTTACAACAGCTCAGACTTTTCGAAAACCAGCTGGCTGGTGAGCCCGAGAGGACAATCGATTAATGGCCTGAGTTCGTTTTACAACGGCGACTGTGCTCAAAGTTCCGCCAAAGACGGTATTTTTTTGCCTGTAAGGATATGAAAGATGGCGCTCGCTCTCCAGTATGCCTGGCGGCTGTGAGGTTTGCGTTACATATCCTTGGATATGCAGTCAGCCTGCTTAAGCTGGGGCCTGAGGGGGGGCCTTTCCGGCTTTACACGTGTCGAACATGCTACAGCAGGATATGTTCGGCCCTCTCCCAACGTAGGCGAGGCTGGTGTCTTGGAAAACACTTGAACTTGGTTCACTGGTCTGACCTGCTTTGCTGCTTTTCTGTGCAGGACCTATCCCCGAAGATCTTGGGGATCTCGAGAATTTGAGCGTTCTTGACTTGCACAGCAACAAGCTCACCGGTGAGAAAACGTAGCCTGAGCGAAGCAGGATCGTGCATATCGTGTTGTCTAGAGAGATGTGTCTATCCCATGCGATAGGAAGCCGTCGGTTTCGTACGGTTTTGCGAGTTGGATGGTAAAAATTGATTGTCGTTCGAACAATGAACCCTTGTGCGGGTTTCACCCCTATACGATCGACGTAATCTGGCAACGCTTCTGCTGAAGGGGCGTGCGCATCTCTTCTTCGGCGAACCAAGAGAAGCCCGCCTAGTTTTGTCGTCAAAAAAGGCTTGCTTCACACAATAAACCTACAGTATCACCTCAAAAAAGCTTTCGCGAAAATCCGGGAGGACGATTGGTAGTATTGCAGCCTAGTCTATGTGATGAACAACAGACTTACGTGCGTTCCCAAAGAGTCATGGTTCAACTCCTTTGGTGAAAGAAGAAAGCAAGGTTGACGCTGCTGTGCGGTTTGATTTTCCGGACGTTTGAAGTGTCTTTAGTCACTATAATAGCGGACCCGGGCCGGCGAATTGACTACGGCGATGAGTTGTTGTTTTTCTTCACATCAAACTCGTGTCAGCTGCTAATCCCAAAATCTAGCAAAGACTCGGTCCGTGGTCACAAAAATGCTAGAGCCATCAGAAGATCTAAAGAACACACACACTATTAGCAAGAAAAGGGTACGCAAGCCCGAGGAGGTACACCTGCAATCCCTGCAGCACGTTACATGCTCACAACTGAACTACACGCCCACACACTACAAATCGACTACAGTAGCAGCATCACCCCCGTTGTCCCCCATTTAACCAAAATGAATGTTTGTCGACTACAGCGTACTGCTGTTTCAAGTGCTGTCTGTATAATAATAACACCATGGTGCATGGTACACAAGCTCGGGGCATGCAGCTGCTGTCTGAAGTGCTGTCAGAATGAGTCCGTGGACATACAATGAAGAAGAACACCCAACCAAAGCCATCATTGCAATTGACAATCACCCGAATCTATCCAGATCATCTGTGTTAGGCACAGCAGTGTAAACATCGACACTGACTAGGAATCGTTCCACATTGAAGGGGTCTTCCACGATGCAGGTACACAGTCAAGGCACCCGGGTTATCCGCGCCATTTCTGCCGCGTCTCTCTACAAAACCAGTGACGTCGTCTCACACACCCAACATCTGTAGTCTGTTCAGGAAAAAAACGGAAAAATAATTGACGACACAAGAGACGTTTGTCCGTGCGCCACGAATCCACCTGCTCTGGTTCCGCTGCTCCGGTGTCGTTGTGGCCAGTCCTAGCACGACCAAACTCGACCCGCTCCGCTTCGTACACGCTCTCGTTGCTGTCCATCCCAGTCGGTTCCTCGCTTTCTCCCTCGTTGCACTTAGGGTTCTTGGTCTAAAAATTCTCGCGCCGAAGGGTCAACCAGCCCAATGAGCTCGTCACCACCTGTCCCCTCCTCCTTTGATGGCAAAACCAGGTTACTGAGACAGTACAGCTCCCTCTAGCAAACCTAGGGCCGTGTACATAGGGCCCGTCCACCTTTCTGATGACGTCTGCCTCCGCGCACAAGGATGAGATGGGCATTGCTGCCTACACCGACGGCCTGGAGGCCCGCGCATCTGCACCTTTGTACCTGACGCACCAGTGCCGACCCAGCTCCACCACTACGCGCGCCTCGCGGCGGGTGCGCCGCAGCAAGAAGGTATCGGTCCCTTGAGGGTGAGTCTAGCCCTGCAGCCTAGAAAGCCCCCCGCCTTCGATATGGGTCATGCCTACGCAATACCTTGCCGAGGCAGCGAGGGGCAGAAAGGGTACATCAAGTCAAGTACATTGTGTTGAGGCAAAAGCTGCACTGCCGTCGGTGGTCACACAAAACTTCACATCGGTTATGATTTAGCAGTCTATCGCATCCCTTGACAAAGCAGGACTGGTCCACATGAAGGTGACGATGATCGCATTATTTTCCTCTAAAAGTGCTGAAAGGTACTACGGAACAATAGGAGACATCGAGGATACTATTCAAGGGAGAGACCCATCATTTGTTGGCCAACCGACGTGGTTCGACATTCAATACGCTCTGAATTTGATCGACACACAACTGGGGAGTACAACAGTACTGTAGTTTCCTAACAACGATCGCCTGACGGGTGGTTGCCTTTGCCGAGCCTCATGACTGCTAGACCAACTATCGCGTGTACCACCCACTCACGGGCCGTGTTAGCACGGTAGCACGGTGCCACCACTCGTCTGTGGAGGCCTTCGCTGCAGTCAAATTGTGTCTATGTGCTGCTTGTTCAGGGA